TGGTGGCTACGCCAAGTCAGTGGGAGAAACCTGGCTCTCCCCCTCCCAGCAGCAATCAAATGCCAATAGCTCCTTGGCTAGAGTTGGGACCTCACGGCCACCTCCTTTCTCCAAGCTGGGATTCTGCCTGGCTTGAGCTTACGAGGGTCTTGTGCACTCTGTCACAGTTGCTCTGAATTCATGGGCATGTGGCCTACGTGTCTGAAAACACTGTTTCCTCGTGGTCCTCCCCCGCCTCTGGCTCCTGCAGTCTCACTGCCTGCCCCCTCTTCCACACAGACCGCTGAGTTCTGAAGGAACTGTGCGACACAGATGCCCCAGTTAGGGCTCGGTGGAGTGCCATGCCTTTGTTTCCTTATTCCCAGTTTACACTTTGCGTTTGCAGACGACCAGACACTTCCGTGAGGCCCTGCTTGTGGCCTGTTAGAGATGCCGGAAGCTAATGCCAGAGTGTTAGCCTGTCTGCAGAGTCCTTTATCCATTGATACTTTCGTTCATTCTGTCTACAGAGTGAGTTTGTGTATACAGTACATAGACAGTAGAGAATGGGAAAGATGTTTCTCCAGAAAGATTTTTTTTAAAAGAAAAGAGAGAGGGCTGGAGTCATCATCAGAACCTTGTATTGCTCTAGCAGAGAAACTGTGTTCAGTTCCCAGCACCCATGTCTGGCAGCTCACAACTCCACCTCCAGGGCATCTGGCACCCTCTTCTGGGCTCTGCAGGCACTCATACCCAAGCTCATACTAACGTGCAGGCTTAAATAAATAAAAATAAATCTTTCTCGAAAGCTTTCTCCTTCTAAAAAAGGAGAGAACAGAAAAGGAAAAACAAAAATATCTACTTGCCTGAACTAACAATTACAAAGAAAATAATGTGTTTCCCAAACACATGACCATGCATAGCAAAGCCCAAATATTGTCTCATATCAACCGTAATTGAATTTGTCAATTTTGTGGACACAAAAACCACAGCTCCCACCTCAAAAGAAATAGGAGATAGTTGATTCTGGAGCTACATTAATGACCATGGCCTAACAGTGGTCCTCAACCTTCCTAAGACTGGGACCCTTTAATATAGTTCCTCATGTTGTGGTGATCCCCAACCATAATATTATTTTGTTACTACTTCATAACTATAATTTTGCTACTTCTTTTTTTTTTTTTTTAAGATTTTATTTATTTATTTATTGTGTATACAGCATGTATGACAGCAGGCCAGAAGAGGGCACCAGATCTCATTACAGATGGTTGTGAGCCCCCATGTGGTTGCTGGGAATTGAACTCAGGACCTCTGGAAGAGCAGTCAGTGCTCTTAACCTCTGAGCCATCTCTCCAGCCCCTAATTTTGCCTCTTTCTAACTAATTTTATTACTTCATAACTGTAATTTTGTGTCTGGTTTGTCTGTTAATAATTGTAAATATCTGATACGTGACCTCCAAAGGGGTTGCAACCCACAGGTTGAGAACCACTGGCCTAGGAGCACAGATTTGGGTTACCACAAATACTGTAAAATACAGACAGTTTCAGAAAGTGTTTTTGGTGACTTTATAGTAACAGGAGTGACCCACCTGCTGGCTGAACTGCCCTACTCCCTAGATTCGGTTCCCCCAAACCCCCCCACCTCACCTGTCCTGCTGTGGAGCCCTTACCCCCAACTCCAGCAGACTTCTGCTGCCTAGGTGCAGGCCACGCCAATCAGCCAATCAGAAGAGTTGGTGCAGGCTGAGCAAGCCAGAAAAACAGATAGGCAGGGAATCCTTGCTGGGCCAGAGACCACACCTGCTGCCACCACAGGTAGGTGGCCCACCAGCAGACCTCCTCCACTCACTCAGTGCCCCCAATCCCCGCTCCTGTCCTCATCACCATATCCCACCCACAACTCCGGCAGAGACTGCTCTGCTCCCCCCCCCCCCGCCCCGGCCTGCTGCACCAAAGGCCAAGCTAGCCACCTGAAGTCCAGTCCCCGACTTGGACAGAGCCTCCCTACTGGATCAGAGGTCATACCAGCTGCCAGAAATCTAGACCACAAAGACCAGAAGACCAAAGAGGAAACAGAAACCAAGGAACAAAACACCCCTTCAACAAAGACAAACTCAGAAATCAGCACCTAGACCTATAATCATCCCAAACCCAGATGCCTAAACCCCTGTAATATTATCATCAACAGTCAGGGCAATATGGTACCACCAGAGCCCAACTGTTCTATGACAGCAAGACCTGAATATTCCAGTGCAGCTGAAGCACAAGAAAATGACCTTAAAACCAACTTAAATCAAGGAAAAGAAAAAAAAAATGGAGGAAACCAATAAATTACTTAAAGAATGTCAAGAAGGCCAAGAAAAACCAAACAGGTGGAGGAAACTGTTCAAGACCTGAAAATCAAAATAGAGGCAATAAAGAAAACACAAACTGAGAGAATTCTGGAAATGGAAAATCTGGGTAAGAGAACGGGAACTACAGATGCAAGCATCACCAACAGAATGCAAGAGATGGAAGAGAGAATCTCAGTCATTGAAGATACAAGAGAAGAAATAGATTCACTGGTCAAAGAAAATGTTAAATCTAAAAAATTCTTAACACAAAACATTCAGGAAATTGGGAACACCATGAAAAGACCAAACATAAGAATAATAGTAATAGAAGAAGGAGAACCCCAGTCAAAAGGTACAGAAAATATACTCAACAAAATCATAGAAGAAAACTTTTCCACCCTAAAGAAGGACATGCCTATGAAAATACAAGAAGCTTACAAAACTTTACAGTAATAAAGAAAGTCTGCTGTGGATATTGCTCTGTATAAATAAAATGCTGATTGGCCAGTAGCCAGGCAGAAAGTATAGGTGGGACAAGCAGAGAAGAGAATTCTGGGAAGTGGAAGGCTGAGGCAGAGAGACGCTGCCAGCTGCCGCCATGAGTACCAACATGTAAGATACTTGTAAGCCATGAGCCATGTGGCAAGGTATAGATTTATAGAAATGGGTTAATTTAAGATGTAAGAACTAGATAGCTAGAAGCCTGAGCCATTAGGCCAAACAGATTAAATAATATAAGTCTGTGTGTTTATTTTATTTTTAAGAAACTCTCCAGCTACAGAAGTCATATATCAAGATACATCCAAAATATTTTAATTAAAAAATAGTGTGTGTGTGTGTGTGTGTGTGTGTGTGTGTGTGTGTGTGTGTGTATGAACACTCGTGCAGGAGCAGATTTACATGGAGGCCAGAAAAATGTGTTGGAACTCCTGGAGCTGGAGTCACAGGCAATTGTGAGCCATCTAATGTGGATGCTGAAAACCAAACTCAGCTCCTCTGCAGACACAGCCAGTGCTCTTAACTGTCGAGCCGTCTCACCAGCCCCCAAGGCACTTCTTAAGTATATTGGCAGAAACATCAAATAGGCAGATTATAAATACAGCAAATCGGGGGGGAAATTCCTGCTATGGGCCTCAGATGCTGGCTGATAACATTCTTAGTCTCTAGGTTAGTTAGGTGTTTGCTAGTACATTCCAAAAGGATTTACCCAATAGACAGATGTTAGGTCAAGTACTGAGGTAGCTTGTGACTATAGTGGCTGAGAGAGCTCAAGATAATTCAGCCCTGGATCTGTAACACACTCCAACTCGTTGAAACCCTTTGAGGTTTTCACAGATGTTCAATGGAGGGGCTACTCTTAGGCTGAGAACTTCAGTTCATTTCAAGAGAAGATTTTTTTTCTGTTCTGCTAAGTTTTCATTGTGAGTTAAGACACAGGGCTGGGGGTTGCATAGAATCCACATGGGCCTGGGGAATCCGACCCTTCCATGTGTCTCCAAAGCTGGGGAATCTGATGTTTTCTTTGGGAAATGGAGGCTGTTGGCACTGACCGTAAGTTCCTGCAGAACTTAGCTGCAGACGTACTAAGAGCAGGTGCTCTCATGGCCGCGGCGTCTCCTTTCCGAGGGGAATCTGAGTTTTAACAGCGCTCACACTGAAAGGACGTGTTTGAATCCATAGAGTTTGGGATGTCAACCTCCAGATAGGAAGGGGTCCCTTTTGGGACTGGAGACCACTTAAGTTCTTTAGATCTCCACCATCCCTGGTACCTTCCATCCCTAGTACACAACCATCGAAGTCCCTGTCCCCTGCGCCTTTGCCAAAACATAAAGAATGTTTTAAAAATAAATAATAAAAGACATTAGTTCCTACTGAGGATTATTTACCACATTTGTTCCCGATTCCAGGCTTGCTTCCCTCCCACCAGAAGTAGATCCTTTTTGAAGCCGATGAAAATTATGTGTTAGGGAAATTCTGTCAGCATCCCTCCTAAAACACACTCACAAGTCCCCAACAAAGTCACTCGGTTAGTCTACACACATGACTGCCTGCATCTGTCTCCATCTGTGACTCTGAGAAAGTGCCTGGGAGAAGCCTTGAGAGGCCCTGCAGGATCCCGGCCTTGGGCAGAACGGGGCTGCTCCATGAATCCAGCTGACTGTGAATCCAGTACCGGGTGTGCTGCATGGGTCAGCACCTCTAGGAACTCACTAATTCACAGTGCTCTTCCTGAGTTAGTGCTGAGAAATAAAGTGATGCAGAGTCTCCAGTGGACCCGCCCCCTCTCCCGAATGTCTTACTGTCTGTGGCCAGCCACTCCTGAATCCTTGCCCTGAGTCCTGAAGGAGCCCAACCCCCAACTCCAAACCCCAGCGAGACTCTTGTAACTTCACTTGTCCTTCTCAAGGGGAAAAAAAAGAAAATCAATCCTTGTCTCAGTCCTTACATCATCTTCTGTTTCAGAATGGAGACGTCTGTCCTCATTCACCGTGTTTACTGGGGTTTAATAGAGACGACCCTCCCCACCAACCACAGGAAACTGGGCTGCGCCCAGTCACCTGGAATTGTCCTTTTGTATAATTAGGGAAAAGGTGGCACTAATGAAGCCAATGCTGGCTCTCTTGGTTGTGTGCTCATCAATATTCCTGCACCAGTGAGTTCTTTATCATCTGGGTCCTGCAATGCATGTTGTTTTCAAACTTTAATGTTTCTCACAGAAACTAATTTCCTCTTAAAGTGGAGACCGTGATTTCTCCATCTACTTGGTAACACAATTTAGACAGAACAGGACACTCTAAAATCAAGCATGGATTTCATCACAGCTGACGTTACATGCTGGGGGAAGCAGATCATGTAAAAATGTTTAGAAGAAGGAAAAGCACCAGGATGGAGGAATCTGCATCCAAGAATTTGGCATGTTTTTGGCTCCTGCTGTATGCTGGCCACTGGGCTAGACAGACACTGAGGATGCACAGAGAAGCTGGCTGGGCTCTGGTGTCCTGGCCCTTGCAGAGATTTGCATTCCAACAAGCCTATTAAAAAAAACAAAACAAAACAAAAAACTGTAACTCAAAACCAACAGCCACCCCGAAGGACTATTGGAAGCTGTGTGGCTCATCTCGGCTCGCTGTCTTGGTTTCTGTAGGAGATATTACTCTCTTGGGGAAATATATTCTAAATCCCATTTTCTTAAGCCGTTAAAAATCCATGCTTGTTACTAATCAATGTGTGCGACCTTCATAGAGTAAAAACTGCCCCTGGGTGGCCTTGGAAGGGAAAGGCAGAGAAATCTGTTTCCATGGTTTGGAAAGAGGTGGAACATTCTGAGGGAACTCTTAACAAACTTCCAGAGATCTCAGAGGTGCCAGTGTGCACTCGGGCATTGGATTAAGGCCAGAAGAGCCTGCTCGCAAGAGGAAGCAGAGACTGTGTGAGGAGGTCCATGACCTGAGACCCCAGGGGAAGTCATTGAGCTGGAAGTCAGGCCCAAGGGCTAGGGAGGAGATCAGTGGTAGAGTATATGCTTAGCATGCCTAAGGACCTGGGTTCAATTCCCAGCAGCATCACAAGTTAACAAAATAAGCCATAAACCGGTCATGTAGACATATCTTTTAGGTTGTGTACCCAGCCCAAGTGTGAAGGAGGCATGTGTGAAGCAGGCTCTGGAAAGCAGAGCCAAAAAATTTTTTTTCCGCCTCACCCAAATCATCTGTCCCAGTCTCCTGCTTTCAAGCACATCCTGTCTGAGCGTGTCTGGCTCCCTTGATGGAGATACTATGCTTCATTCTGGCATCTGCTGCTGTTCTTAGAAGTGTGAGCCTTCAAAGAATGGGACTCATGGGAGAAAGGGGGAAAAACCGTACCAGAGGAGACTGGTCAAGGCAGAGGGCTCCAGAAGGGAGAAGGTGGCTGGAGATGGGGAGCAGTCTCCATAGTCATACTTCTTCCCACACTTAAATGTGAGCAGCTGGCTCCAAGGCTTTGGGGGGACTCTCAGGGGTGGAAATAGCCATCTGGGAACTCCAGGTGTCTTGACTGGCACAGTGGAAGGAATTAGACAGCCACCCCTGGAAGGCAGTGTCCAGTGCCTTGCCTAGGAGGAACTGAGTCCTAGTCAAAGGTCTATGATTCTCAAACTCCCCCTCCGAAGAGGAGGCCTGAGGCCTTCCTCACTCTGTGATGTGGTCCATGTCCTCAGCTAGCTAGCTCTCAGGCCAACTCTTGGATGCAAAGAGATCTTGAGCAGTCTAGGGCTGTTACATCCAAGAAAACTGACCATCTCCCGATGTCAGACTCTTCTACCGCCCCCAGCCTCTCTGTTACACCCCCAGAAGCAAAGGAGAAGCCTGCCTTGTGGAGAGCACTCCCGTAGCCCAGGCACTTGGTACCTGGACTAATCATGTGCCGTTCCTTACCTGGCTTTCATGGCTCCATGCTTTACAGGATAGGAAGGCAGGCAGGACCAATACGGCAAGAAGGGGGAAGGTAACCGCAGATTTAATAAAAATGGTGGAGGCTGCTGCTGCTGCTGCTGCTGCTGCTGCTGCTGCTGAGCGGGAGCCAGTGACACCCTCCTCCACTTCCCTCCACACTGGTGGCCTGGGGGCCCCATCTCCCTCTCTCAGCTTTGAGCCTCCCCTGGGCCTGGATTCTCACTCTAGTTCATCCCTTCCCTGACTGTTCCTGGCTGCCTGGGAGCCTCTGACTCCGTATGGAAGGACAGTCCTTTCCCACTGGGGACCTGGGCCCTTTCTGAGAGTGGCCGTTGGTGGAAGCTGTTGCCATGGGAAACAGTGCACAGTATGTAGCAACTCTACCAGACTCCCCACCCTAGAGGATCTGTGTAAGGAGCAGGGTCAGGACTAGCCCAGAGGTTTGGGAATCATCTCTCCAGACTGGTCCCAGTCCTAAGACCTGATTTAAAATGGCAACACCCTGTGTGCCTGGGCAAACGGCTGGATCCATGTGAGAAATGGTACAACGGGGAATGACTGGGTTCAGGGAAGGTGGTCAAGCCCTGCCTGTGGAGGCTTAGTACCCAGAGACCAGCTACACTAGCCCTGGCACCCAGTGGGTCTGCGTAGTGGCAGAGTATGGGGTGTTTGTGATGAATTCCCATGATGGCGCACGCATCTTTGAAATGTTCTGTGTGCTTTTAAATATTCCTACTATGAAAAGGTTGTATGACATTTTAATAAAAGCATCTTTTTTTCCATTTTGCTTTTGTAATATTTGGGGGTTGCTAGATTTTCATTTTCTGGCCAAGTATACTTTTCTAAGGGAATGTTGACATCTTGAGTATTTTTATAGAAAACTATAGTTAACGTCAACTGTAAGCACTGATAAATATTGTTCACATGCAATTTCTCTTCCTTTCAATCGGACTTTTTAAGGAACTATGCCTTGGCAGAGCGTTTTCTTTGAAATGCTGCTTCATTTTACACATTGTGAATACTGAAGATTCTGAAAAATAAGGGTGCTTTTAAAACCCCTGTGCTGTTATATTGTGGAGATGGTAATGTGGATTGCTTTGCCAAAGTGGTAATTAAATGTTTAATGGTTTCGAACGCCTAGTTCGGAATAGGGGTTCTAGTCACCGCTCACCGAGCCAAGCTTACGAACAGGCCTCCGTATCTTTGGGAAAAGACACTTCAGGATGGTGATTTCCTGTTCACTTAGGAAATATGGTCATGTTGACATTACGGCTGTCTGCTTGTGGATCTGCGGTAAACGGGTACCGAAAGCGCTCGTGACAACGTGGCCCACGGATTTTGTTTTTAATCAAACTCCAAATGGCAGGAGAAGTGGAGCCAAAGCTCTCTGAGCATCCAGGCAGCAAGATGTGGTGGGAAAAACACGGGTTGGGAGTGGAAGAAGCCGAGCCAGCTCCAGCTCCTTCGCCACCGGTGAGCCCTGAGACAGGAGAATCCCTTTCTTTCTGTCTCTGGAGCTCATCATTCCTCATCCACCAAAAATGACAATTAAAATCAAGAAGGAAGATGATACGTTGACCTTGGAGGTGTGCAAATTGTCAAAATCAAAATGGCACCACTTATGTCAAATCCTGACCGACGGCAGGGAAGGCCACAAAAAGAGGGTCCTTACATACAATTGTCCCGTAACAAGAACTATCAGAAAGCTGCCAAGGGGCCTGAAAGGTGGTTAGCAAGTGCAAATCTACAAGGCCTAGACTGGACCCTTAGCAACACACATACACACACACACACACACACACACACACACACACACACACATACATACACATACACACTCGCACACATGCACATACTCACACAAACACACACACATACATACATACACACATATACACTTATACACACACTATACACACATACACATACACACACATACACATATATACACACACGCACACATGCACATACTCACACAAACACACATATACACTTATACACACACCATACACACACCTACACATACACACACATACACACATATACACACACGCACACATGCATACATACTCACACACACACATACATATACACATATACACTTATACACACACTACACACACATACACAATATATACACATGCACACATGCATACATACTCACAAACACACATACATACACACATATACACATATACACTTATACACACACCACACACACACATACACATATATACACACACGCACACATGCATACATACTCACACAAACACACACACATACATACACACATATACACATATACACATACACACACCACACACACACATACACACACATACACATATATACACACACGCACACATGCATACATACTCACACAAACACACACACATACATACACACGTATACACTTATATACACATATATACACATGCACACACTACACACATGTAAACACACACGCACAAACACCGTATACACACACACCGCCTCTGTCACAGCCTTGCACAAAGGCCTCTAAAATGCAACACACACACAAAGTACTCCTGCAGGGACTTCCGTCCCATACCTAACTGTTCAGCCTTGGATAGTTGCCATCCTTGTTATTGGTCCCCACAGCCAGCACAACTTTTTTTCCTAAAAGAATTAATGCAGTCTTCCTCAGTTTACCTTCAAATGCTTCCTCTTCCCCTAACCTCCTCGAGGCTGCTCAAGGTCAGGCATGTGATCCCCATCCCAGTGGTAAACATAAAGCACCTGGAAAATGTGGTCCTCCCTCCCACAGGTACTGTGTGGTTTCATCTTTCCGTCACTCTCTGCTCGCCCAGTCTTCAGCATCCACTCTTGGCTGGATGCTTTCTCCAAGGTCATACAGGAAGCAGAATTCTTGTCCTTTTTTTTGGCATTTTTTTTTCCATTGTAAAACAATACACAAGTGTGGAGGGCTTTTTAACCACAGGTGTGGGTTTTTTCTTCCCTTCTTGCCATACAATTTTAATACAGTACATGCCATACTTGTGCCTTTATATTATTTCCTGAGCATTTTTCCAATGACAAGGTAATGGTGTGATTTAAAATATTATAATCTCTTGCTGGGCATAACTTTGTCCCCGAGGAGATGCATTCTGGGGAATACGTGGTTGTGTATTTATCCTTATCCTAGGTCCTAATGGTTTCCTTTGAAAAGATACCCAGAAGGAGAATTGCTTAGTTCAGCTATGAAGGCTCTGAGCATCACTGTACCACTACATTCATTCTCAGGCCTGTTAGGCTCCACCAGCAGAAGAGTCAGCCCTGAGTGAGAGATTTGCTCCATTAGGGGAGGTGGGGGTGCCACCCCAGGCTCTCCTTGTGTTTTTCTGCCCTTCTTATAGTCTGCATGACCCAGAAGGATGAGCCCGGGCTCATCCCTTTAGCTCTTTCTCCCATAAAAACAATGTACCTGATGCTCTTTAAAACCCTGTCTGTTCTGCCAGAAAGTGAGAGACTTCAGATATTTCATCAAAGCCCACCCCTCAAGGTTTAGGGGGCCGTGCAGAAGAGGTTGTAAGAGCCAGAGTGACGGATGACTCCAAGAAAATAGCTTCTTCCAGACACAGCAGGACTGACAGACCAGAGACCATGGCAGCCTGCACAAGACCTGCACAGATTCAAGCCAGACAAAATCCCAGAATGGAGAAGGGAACGTGGGCACAAAATCCCACCCCTAACCAAGAGGCTATTTGCTAATACCCTCTGGCAAAAGGCAAATCCGTTTTCCCCAAGGAAGTATAACTGGGTATATCAGCTCCATACCTAGGAGTAGTTGGTCGACACAAAATTAATTCCTTGTTTTTGTTTTTGTTTTTGCTTTGTGTGTGTGTGTGTGTATGTGTGTGTGTGTGTGTATGTGTGTGTGTGTGTGTATGTGTGTGTGTGTGTGTGTGTGTGTGTGTGTGTGTGTGTGTGTGTGTACACGTGTGCATGCACGTGCTTGCTTTTTGTTTTGTCTTATTGGGGTTTTTTGTTTATTTGTTTGTTTGGCTCCTTTTTTATTTCTATTTTGTCTTATTTTTTATGAGACAGGGTCTCTCTATGTAGGTAAGCCTGGCTGTCCTGGAACTCAATATGTAGACCTGGCTGGTCTCAAACTCACAGAAATCCTTTGCTTCCTGAGTGCTGAGATTAAAGGTGTGTACTACCCTGCCCAGCCCCTTGGTTTTTGTTGGTTTGTTTTTGTTTTGTTGGTTGATTTTGTTTGTTTGTTTGGCAAGGAAGGAGAAAGAACATACAGTTGGGGAGGGAGGGAGGTGAGAAAGATCTGGGAGGAGTTGAGGCAGAGGGAAACATGATCAAAATATATAAAAGATTAATTAAAAATAAATAAATAAAATCCTATCTATTCTGAATTCTAGTAAATAAAAGGCAGGGAGGGGCATGGTAAGAAGAGATGGGGCAGGGAGGGAAATTCAGTTTGGATATGTGGAGATGGGAAGTTGTAGGGCAATGAGTTTTCCACCCTAGAGTCCTAGAGAGCTGTTTCATGCCTAAATTCCTGGGTGGGCATCGATGGTCCTCCAAAAGAAGTTAAGGTGACTTGGAATTTTGTCAGCAGAGCATTTTGGGGAAGCTGCAGATTCCGTTTGTCCGACACACCTGTGATTTGGGCTGCAGGAGCACACCTTCAGCCCAGGGCTGAGCTCAGGAACAACACCCATCCTTTAGGGCGCTTGCGCTGCCGGCCTCCATACTGTTCTAAGCACTCCTGTGCGTCAGTCTTTCCAGCAAACCAGAGCAGGTTCTATTATTAGCTCCATTTTGCATAAGAGGAGCAAATTGCCCAAGGTCGAATAGCAGGTGAGCCCGAAGCTGGGTTGGAGCCCAGGCTTCGTAGTTTCGGGGAAGCAGGAGTAACCCTTTGGTCAAACAAACCCACGTGGGCTTTTCCAGGGATCGGGGATGTGTATTGGCTAAACTTCGTGCTGTGTCCTGTTCCATCACCACTTCTGCTTCACCAGGCTCCAAGGAGGCAGATGTCACAGCTCCCATCCATGGCCATGAAACTGATGATGGGGCTGAACCGCCAAAGTCCAGGGTCATGGGTCGGCCTCAGAGCCCTGGAGCAGAGCACAGGCGTGCATGTGGTTCACAGATGTGGGAGATTTGAGGACACTGAGAACTTCCTTTCCTAATACCAACTTGAGTCTCTCCCACAGATGAGAGGCCATGGCTGTGTTCTGCCTGCCACTTCCAATTTTCATTAATTCCCTTCCTCTGCAAACCAGAGCGCTGCTCACATTCAGCAGTACTCTCACAGAGTTCCTCCAGTGTAAATCCTTCTCACAGAAAGAGCCTGTCAGGGCTGTCAGGGGGCTCCGAGGGTAAAAGTGCTTACCAAGCCGAACAACCTGAGACAGATCCCTGGGACC